GGCAGAGAGAGAGAGAGAGAGAGAGAGAGGCAGAGAGAGAGAGAGAGGCAGAGAGAGAGAGAGGCAGAATCTGAAGCAGGCACCAGGCTCTGAGCTGTCAGCAGACAGCCTGACGTGGGGCTTGAACTCACAAACTGTGAGGTCATGACCTGAGCCAGTCAGACACTTAACCGACTGAGCCACCCAGATGTCCCGAATGTTTTCCTAATTTAAAGTTGAAAGTTAAGCATTCTTCCCACTTCCTGAGGCACAGGATAGTGAGCACCTGCTATCCAGAGGAAACAGATGGGAAAATTCCCAACAAGCTGGTTGTAATTTGTATCAAACGGGAAAAATTTCTCTTGCTCATTCTGCAATCCCACTGGTCACAATGAAAGCAATCTTTCTATAAATGTCTCTTTTCCGGAAGGGGAAGTGTGCGGAGATTTAGATTTTAATTAACTCTGACCTACTATTAACGAAACCCATGTAACTCTTAGTATCTGCTAGTAGGAACCCACAGTAACGAACACTGTAGACTATGTAGTGAACTAGAACCATCTTTCCCTTCTAACCAACTGAAAGCTTACAGTATAAAAATGAAATGTTAGAGAAGATATAAACATGGTTGCATTTAACTGAAGAATTCTTCCAATCCTTCACTGTCAGGGTGACAAGATTCTATACATGGAATTAGACTTTCCATTTGAAATGGTCAAAGTGGGCACTGTAAAGAATACTCCATAGGAGATAAACATTCATCGTGTATTTCAGAAGAAAGTGACTGCTTCAAAAAGCTACAACTTTGGGGTGGTAAGGGTAGGATTTCCTGTAGTTTGCTAGCTTACCAAGAAATGGGGGGAAAAGGACTGGAAACATACCTGGATCAGCTGCAGTGAAAGGAACACCATCAGAGGTATAAAATGTTGGTTCATTCTAGGATGAGTCAAAGTGATACAAATATGTAACCATTTCCAAATTGATTTTTTAAAGCACATGAATTAATGAAGCATGGCTGATATCACTCATCTGCATCTGATAATGCAAGAACAAGCAAAAACCTAACTTCCTAATAGCCATTTTCATTTCATTGGGAAAGTCCATGGTTTTCAGATTTCTATTCTCTCAAGTTCTTGTGGCTCTAACCCTGCTGTCTATTCTCGGTCACACTCGTGATGAATTGTTTTGTGGTACACTGTGATTAGCATTGTGTCAGCTTATTTTTAGTTGTGGTTCTTCCCTCCCCACCATTTTTAAAAGAATTTCCAAGACTGGGCTTATAGAAGCAGTCCTGCATAGTTGCATTATGCTTGGTTATGTTGGGAGCTTCAGGGCATTATTGACCTGGTCACCACTTTTATTTTAACTTACTACAACATACAATGTAATAGTTTGAGATCTGGGCCTCTGATTATAAATTCTCTGGAACTGCTTCCCAGAATCCCTATACTCAACCAAGTCCAAGCCTTGTTGATCTCCCTTGCCACTGGATGGATCCTTCTCCAGTTCACCCTTCCCCTAGAGGATTCCACATTTCTACTCCTATTTACCTAGTCTGCTGGCTGCCATGTGACCCGAAGCCAATGAAAAGTTATTAGGCATTAAATTCTGAGACTATCTTTATGTAACTCATCTAGAAATTTCCAAAATTTGGAGCCAAGCAACAAGCAAAACTTAAAATGAAAACATTGGCATACCATAAAATAATTAGGATCATTTTCAGGTGTTGCTTCTCTGTATGTTGAAGTTGCATGGACTCTACCCCAGTTACTTGACCGGAGTTCTACAAGCTTCAAGAGCATCTGTTTCACATCTCTGCAGACAGAAGATGAAAAGGAGTTAAGTATATCCACCAGAAGTGTTGTCAGACTCCAGAATACCAGAGACTCCTAAAACTTTGTTTTATAAATTTAACATGTATATCCAAGTGCTTTGATTTTCTAGATGTTTCCTGTACTTTAAGCAGTCTTGATATTTGTTCCATCTGTGACTATATGGTTCTTAAAGGTAGTGGCCATTCCACATTTTTATGCCTCTGGACTTTACACTGGACTTCCAGTACTTTACCGAAGTATTTACTGAATAATTTAAAGTCCGAATCATTTTACTTTTTAATGAACTCCTATCTTACCACAGGAAAATCTTAACTTTTTCCATTTATAAACACAACTGAACAAAAATGGCTAGGTAAGCAGAAGCCATGCATAAGATATTCTATCTTTAAAGAAAACCTTTCTCTAGATCTAGAAGATTTTAATTCTTCTGATATATAGCAGATTAAAAACCCCACAGAAAAAAAAATGGAGATCTACTGGCCATCTACCTACCTGCTGCAATTTGCATCTAGGACAACATTTTCAATTCTCTGAATAATTTCCTCCATATCAGTCTTTCCTTTTTCCTTCCAAGCATCTTCCAAAACTGACCCTGTCAACTAAAAAAGCAGGGATCAGTAAGATTTGGAATTCAAGGAAGTACAGAAATCCTATAGAAGTATCAGCAGCAATTCAAGCATTCTTTGAACAAAATTAATTTGGCAAGTTAAATATTCCCAATTATATTCTACCATCTAACAGGCAGGAAATCTCTATACCCTCTGTTTTTCTTGACGGAGAGAAACTCAATCATAGGTTTTGTGTGTCCATGACTATATGGTATGCTCCCTGTATGAATAAAATAGGCAATAAGATTTTAATCAACATATCACTTATTGAAATATGCAAGTATAGAAACTCTGAATTAACAAAAATATAAACTTCATTGAAAAAGTGAGTTAAGGATATACACAGGTAATTCATCGTAACAAAAATGGCTAACACAAACATGAAGGAATGGTTAAATTCACCAATGATTAGGAAAATGCAAAATAAAATGAAATTTTTGTTTATACTCATTACCCATGACAAAACAGAAACTAGGACCAGTTGGATCATCATTGATATGAATATGGGGAAAGCGATGTACTCATTCACCATTGGTAGGAATGTACTATGGTTTAGTATTTAGAAGAGAAATTTGACATTCATCAAATTTAAGGATGCAATGCTCACTGGCCCACCCACTCTTTGTGTGGGAACTGAACCTACACAAACAATTGCACATATGGAGATGAAGTGATTCAAGAGGTAAATCTTCTGTGCCAAAGATCTAAGATCTTTGTTAGATCATAAAAAAGCAAGTCACAAAGAGGAAGAAAGATCTTATTTATAGGGGCACACATACAGACATGGGAAAGGAAGGAAAGGAAATTTAGAGATGGGGGTGAAGAACTTCCATTTTTTGCTTCTACATTTGGATTATTCCATTAAAAAAAAAACAGTACATGCTGCTTTTCCAATATTTAAATTCAAGAGTAAACCAAAAGGCCAACATTTAGAGTAGAAACTTAATTTTGAATTCACACGCATACTATGCATACTTTCGGTCCTCTGAATCATATACAAATGGGGTAGAACAGTGAATTTCAAGATAAACAGAAGTGAAACCTACCTTCAGTAACTTTACTGCACAAATTAAGTTGTCATCCATAGGATTGGAAAAGAGGGCATTCAGCAACTCCCGCAGACCAACCTGAAGAATATCTGCTCTTGTAACCTGTCCATTTGTTCCCTTGATCTTTTGGGAAAGAATGAAAAGCAACCATGCCAAAATATCACAGATTAGTGAATGGTCCGGTATGTTGGCAAAATAAGTGTTTGCAGTTAAACAATATAAAAGACAGAAATCCTCTGGTATTTTCACAAAATTAGACTTATTTTACATGTATTTAAAACCTCTAGGGGCGCCTGGGTGGCGCAGTCGGTTAAGCGTCCGACTTCAACCAGGTCACGATCTCACGGTCCATGAGTTCGAGCCCCGCGTCGGGCTCTGGGCTGATGGCTCGGAGCCTGGAGCCTGTTTCCGATTCTGTGTCTCCCTCTCTCTCTGCCCCTCCCCCGTTCATGTTCTGTCTCTGTCCCAAAAATAAATAAACGTTGAAAAAAAAATTTTTTTTTAAATTAAAAAAATAAAATAAAACCTCTAATAGGGGTGCCTGGGTGGCTTAGTTAGGTGTCCGACTTTGGCTCCGGTCATGGTCTCACAGTTCATGGGTTCGAGCCCACATCGGGCTCTGTGCTGACAGCTCAGAGCCTGGAGCCTGCTTCTGATTCTGTGTCTCCCTCTCTCTATGCCCCTCCCCTGCTTGCACTCTCTCAAAAATAAACAGCAAAGAAGATAATAAAAACCAAAAACTTCTAATAAAACCAGGAAACCTCAGGGATGCCTGGGTGACTCAGTTGGTGAAGCGTCCAATGCTTATTTCAGCTCAGGTCATGATCTCACATTTTGTTCCAGCCCTGCAAAGAGCCTGCTTGGCATTCTCTCTTCCTCTCTCTGCCCCTCCCCACTCTTGCACACACTCTCTCAAAATAAAAAGAAAAAAAAAAAAAAAAACAAAAAAAAACAGGTAAACCGAAAACTACAGGTAAAAATTTTCATTTATCATACATATGATCAGGATAATCTAAGCCTCCTATATAAATTATTGTTTCATAAAACATTCTCTGTTCTATTAAGATACCACCTTTTTTGGAACATGCAGCATTTTACTCTGCTTTTTAGACTATTTAAAAATACTGTTTGGCATCAGAATGGTCTAAGTGTCTTAGCTCTCCAGCCAGAAGAGACTCAGACTCAGGAGCCATACCTCATCTTTATTTACACTTCTCACAGACATGGCATCATTACTTCCACACGGGTAAACACTCAACGGCATTCTTAAAATGACTCTTCATTTACAGCACATTTTTTTTTTCTTGAGAGAGAGAATATCCCAAGCAGGCCCCAAGCCCTGAAGAGGGCTTGATCCCACGACCCTGGGATCATGATCCAAGCTAAATTCAAGAGTAGGATGTTTAACTGACTGAGCCACCCAGGCGCCCCTTACAGCACATTTTAGATGAGTGCTCTTATTTTGGCTTATATTAAAATTAAACTGAAAAAGATTAATGCAGGAGATTTTTTTTAAAAGTTATGTCCATCTATGGTAAAAAAGGGATAGTAAATTAAGCACTAGATCGGACAGAGACCATTTAGATGCACATTTGATAGCGGATTCATGGGTGTTTTCAGTGGTGTTTATGATTAAGTCTTCAAATCAAAGTTAAAGCAGGTATAACCCATATATGGGATTAACTAATCAAAAAAGCAAATCCTTTACAGAGTAATATTCAGCACTTAGTTGCCTAGTACAAGCACATACTCAAGTATACCACCAATTCACAAACTTGTTTAGTTATACTTCAGATAAATGCATTTTATGTGGAAGATTCATATATAAAATGGGACCAAGGACTGTAATTCTGGGTGAATTTGGGTAGGAAAAACCCCCAGAAATTCTCCTGTCCCCACTTCTAACTCAAAGCTTTGTGTGTTATAGACTGCTTGTGAACCACCATCTAAAGTCCACATACGAAATGTGTGAAGATTCAAGAAAGTATGATTTCAAAAGCTTAAATTTGCATTGAAACCACGGCTTCCCAAAAGTACACAAAGACTAAAATTCCCAGTAACTACTTCCCAACACCCTCCTAACAGGAGAAACAAACATTACAGACGTTCCATTAAGACACACACCCACACCATTGCCTGCAGGTACAGAGTCATTTCTCTTTCCCCTCGCCCCTCTTCAACTTCATCCTTAATGTAAAGGTGTAACGCAAATACAAATTCCTTACCAAGGTCAGTTTATGTTCTCAGGTTTTGTCAGTACTTAAAAAAAAAAAAAACAAAAAAACAAAAAACTTTGTCCTCACCTCCAAGTTAAGATAAAGTTCTCCCAGGAAGAGTACAAATGCATGGAATCGTTTTCGAGTCACTTCATCCCCCTTGGCAGCTTGATCTTTAACTTCATATTCAGTCCGACACCTAATGAAGATAGACCTTTTATAATCTCACATTGCTTTGTTTTTTGTACAAACAAGACAACCATCTGTTGGTTTCACTGTTCACAAGCAATAAAGAGATAAGTACAATCTTCTGATTTTTTAGGATAAGAAGTGTTCCTGTTTATTGGAATTTGCAGTGCTTTTTCATACTAAGGTTCCTAGTTTTAAGAAACTGATGCGTTTGTCATCTGTTTAAGCAACATAGGTTTCATGAGGTACATCGTATATTGGCACCACAAAGAAAAACTGCCTCACCTTTGTCTTCTAGTCTTTTTGTCAAGAAAGCACTGTTTTTACCCAAATTATCTCTGTAAAATGTTCTATTCTGAATATATGAACTTTAAAACACATCTTAAGAAACATGTATAGATGGGTCCCCAACTGAAAATACAATGAATTTTTATTAAGCCCATTATTCTTTTAACCTCCATTACACAAATCAGAGAAATGAAAAGTCTCCAATTGAAATTCACATAAAAACAGAAAGCAATGAATTTGGTCTCAATATCCCAGAGACCAAAAGGAGCCAAATAACTTAGTTTCCCTTGCTTTGTTCCCACTGCCCCCCTCCACTTGGCCCATCTGCCATCCTAGAAGTTATCTAAAACAATCACAATAAACCTGTCATAACCCATGTCAGTGAATTATGGTGTCTGTTGCTACTAAAAGGATTTTTAGAATGTACTTTAAATGTTTACCAATTTGGTGTTAAATATTTTTTCTTATCTCTCTTGAGAAGGTGGTGAAAGACTCTAGGAAAGTCATGTTTTATAAAGCTGATTTTTTGAGAGTTCTTTTAAGGACAGAAGTAGGGGTTTATGGAGACTGAATGGCTTCCATGTATGAGGGACCAGTTTAGCTTGGCTATGTCAAATTAAAAAAAAATTTTTCTCTTTTCCTAAAAAAAAAAAAAAAAAAAAAAAGTCACTGCTTACCAAGATTTTACCTTGGATCAGCCCGTGAATCAACCATAAACCCAGTACAGTTTATCGTGTCTATATGACTTATAGCTTAGAAGCTACATTAAATGAGCAACATTTCGTTTGAGTCAGATATTTGTTACTCTCTAAACATTAATTCCTCATCAGAACAAAAGTTGCGATATCTCTAAGTAAAACACCCCGTTTAATAATGGAAAGGATGAGCTAATTAATGCCAGTTATCCAAACACCTTGTGGGCTATTCTCCTTTTATGACCTTGTAGGTAGGAATTTCAAGGAAATGATCTGTTTTCTAAGTGCAATGACTATTCTATTATACATTAAGATATGTTAATGAATATGCAAAGGTAAATTCGTACCCCTGGGCAGCAATGGTTATCTAGAGAACAACCCACACCTCTAAACTAATCTTTTTAGGCTAAAGACCTAATTAAAGGCAATACATGCTTATTTCAGAAAGGTTAAAAACAGAAAAGTATAAAAAATAAAGTCACTACAACCCAGAGATAACGGCCATGAAGGTTAACTTTTCTTTTTTCCTAAATATGTATACATTTCTAAGTTAGGTAACAGAATCAAGCCCTGCTTTTCACTTGTTAAAGGATTAGCACTTACGTTAATATCTCCGACAGTAACACAGTACTATGGAAGCTCCAAGCTCGGGTAGAGTCAAGAGAATCAGAAGAGGTTTTCAACCATGGCTACAGACTACAATCATTTGGGGAGCTTTAAAAAACCCAGGCTCCACCTCAGTCCAATTACATCAGAACTTCCAATGAGGACAGGGTCTCAGCCCTATTTTAAGTCTCTGGGTAACTGTAACGTACAGCCAGGGGTGAGCAGTCCACAGGAACAGAAGCCAGCCTTTCTGCCATGCAAGCTCCTAGAAGTGCCCACTTTCATATCTTTCCAGGAGTTATAAATACAGGTTAAGGCTAAATAGGTTTTTAAAATTTTATCATTTATATTTTCCCAAATTTTACCTATTCAGAGCCATTTCAAATATTTCTATTAAAATAATTATTTTTTTCTTACCTCATTCCTAAGAGGCCCGTCTTTTCATATTAATGAGTTCATTGCCATTCATATTAGATAAATGAGTTCACTGCCATGTGTTACAAATTCCCGTTTTTTCTTTCCTTCATATAAATTTAGGACCCTTCCTCCCCACCCCATATTATAATTTATATGTAATTAGGTTTAATCTTTTGTTTTAGGACTTATGGATAGGTTGGTAAAGCCCTTTTAAGCAAGACCTAAGATTTAATTGTTAGTTTCTTAGTATTTAGTGTTTCACTTTTGAGTCTTTTACATATTTGAAATATATTTTGGTGTAGACAGGAACCCATCTTTTTTCTACCCCCAATGAATGGCTAGCCAGTTGTCAGCAGCACAATTTACCTTCTACATACATATCTGAAGTAGGACCTTCATCAAAAGCCTTATTTTCAAGAGTCTCTGGAGTCACTTTTGGAATCCTTATTCTGTTCCAGTGCAATTTAACCAAATTATGGAATACACTACAACCATTAAAAGTATCCTTAAAGAACTAATGGACTAACTGTAATAAACTTGAAGACAACCCTGTAATTGAATAAGACGATTCCAGTAAGAAAATGTTTCCCTAGATTAGCTTATGAATTCAAAGTCATGCCAAAAAGATCTAGTAATACCAAAAAGATTTATGTAATTTCACATGTTGATTCTAAGGTTCTTTGGAGAAAAGCAGCATGCAAGAATAGCAAAGGAAACTCTACCCAAAAACTACGGGGAGGAGACTAATATACTAGGTATTAAAAAACTAGAGCTTTTTAATAGTATCATAATAAAATAAAAATAGAACAAGTAATAAATGGAATATAATGAGACCCAAATATTAGGATGTAGTTTAAGGAAGTTAACAGTTCAAATCAGTAAGGAAATGGATCATTTTAAAAATGGTAGGGATAAAACTCAAACTAGTTCAGCCTGTAGCAATTAGGACCTATTCAAATTGAAAGTACAGAGTACTAAGAAATACATAAGTGATCATATTTAAGATCTTGGAACATGAAGGGCCATCTAAGCACAAAACCAAAAGCAGAGATCATTACAGAAAAAAAGAGACTGATATGTGGGACTATAAATTTTTAACAGTACATACCATACTATAATACAAGAAAGAATGGTCCACCCTAACTTCCCCTGCAACTTTCCATAATACACACAGTCTTTAGAAAAGAATCGTCGAATTCTAGTAGGTTTAAAGTTTTCCTTTAACTTCATATGTTCACACTGACCTTTGAAGCAGCAACTGACGAAAGTTGCCACTCTGTGGGCTAATTGTCAGATGATGGGACAGGTAATTACACAGGCGAGCTCCCATGTAAGAGAAATTTGGGATAGATGTGGCCTTTCAAAAAGAAAAAAAGTTGTAACACAAATACATTGTTATTAATGCAAATACTTAACAGCAACATTCTAAGAAAAACATTTCCACCCCTAAAACTGACATTATACAAATGAACAAGTCTTTATTGTTTGGCGTAAGGAAATTAAGTTAACGCTCCCTCCCAACTTCATACCAAGAACAAGAACAAAGGAAAATGTTTAAGGCAAGTTCTCCCCACAATTTACTTGAGGTTACCAGAAAGCAAATTAAGAAGATCTCTTTATACTAGCCAATTTTTGCATAGGATGTATACATGTGCTCAGTTGCACAGTGCTAGTTATGAATAAGAGTATTTGCCAAACGATTCTTTTTCATGGTGTTTTTTAGGGCAAGGATAGCAGAGACTTTGGCATCTAGCAGTCCAGAACAACATTCCCAGGCCTGCATGGAGACCTTAGACATCAATTACCCTCCATGGGCTTCTGCTTGATTCCTAGGAGAGGTGATAAATGGTACCTGGTATGAGAGATTAACACTTAAAGAGTACTCCAAAAACACTTGGGGTAAAGAGGAAATGAGAAGCTCTTCCAAAAACTAAGACAGTGCAAGACACTATGTACCGAAGATAGTACTGCTTTGGCTATGTGAAACTAAGTTTTAACTTTAATTACAGCTTTTAAAGAACAGTAGAGACAACATGGCTTACTACCCAATATTAGGTAACACATTAAAAGGCTAAGGGACTCGACCAAGGTTACAAAAGGTAGTAACTAACCAGAGAGTAGAGATGTAACGGATGGTCTGATGCCTCTCTGACCCGATACGGAGTCTACTTACGGAGTTGTGGTAAATCTTAGACAAGTCACTTAACTTCTGTTAAGATGTGTAGAAGGGAGAAGAGTAATACCTTGCAACCATGGAGGATTAAGTGAGTTAATTCATTACATGTTAAATGTTTAGCATTGCCTAGCATACAGTACCTATGTTATAATTAGATCTTTTTATTTCATTGCTCACAAGGGACCCTTGTTATCACAGCAGACAGACTGGGTTCTCCTGAGATCACGTATGCATATCTGGTACCACAGAAGACTTGAAATTCAAAAATCATACTTTTCCCATTATGGACATTGCCGGTTTTCCTTTAGTTTACTTTTAAAATTATCACATACAACTTAAAAGGCAAGAAGCTCTACAAGGCTTGTTATTAAATGTCATACTTCCCCACTACACCTCACCTTTACACTCCACAGACAACCACTTTCAATTCTTTCAGCTGAAAAGGTTTCAACCTCTGTATCTCTATGCTCCGGGATTTCGGTTTAGTTATTATTTCTTATGAGTTTCCCACCATGGAAAAGGAATATCCAGTTTTCACCGGATATTCACGTAACACTACTCCATTCTGCTATTTGCCAATCTTTCCATCTACCAATGTCGTTATACCAGGATCTGATTGGTTTTGTGTTTCCATTTATGGCTGGACCACATAACACAGATTTCTCCTTTCCTACACAACTTTGTTTTCCCTGGACTTGATTTTTCTACACTGTTCTTTACTTAAGTCTCATTGATGTTACCCCTAAACTCACAAGTTTTTAAGTTTCTTAACATCTTCAACCACAGCAGCTATGCTCACCTTACCAGGAATCATGCCTGGAGTCTTCTGCCCTACGCCAGCAAAGCCTGGCCATCATCTTGGGATCTCCTTCACCACCATCTAGATAATCCACTTAGCCGCTCCTCTAAAATGCAGTTTCCTAGTTTCTACATCTTTGTCCTTGGCTTAATTCTTTTTGGTGGAGTACTTCCCTTCAAGAACTTCTCAAGAAGGGTTACAATAAAACTTCAAACTGGCTACTCAGTGCAAAAAGAGGGAGAGGGTCTCTCTTTCTTTTTTAAAGATTTCCAAGCAATCTTTTTAGTCTCATTCCAACCTTGTCCTAGAGCTTTCCAAAGGCTCTACTCAGTAAATCAGGGGGGATTTTCAGTTTTCCTCACTGGCTTGGAATTCAACTTTTTTAGATCTGCCAAGTCAGTTACCACTCACCCACCTGCTTTCTAGTCTCCATCTCTTCTCCTCATCTCAGCCCCTACAGGCTTATGGCTTCTTAAAAATCCCATCATTTTAGCAGTATTAGGGGAGGAATCAAAGTTGAATATGTAGGTTTAATCTGCCATTTTTATAACAGGCATTCTGTTACTATACATTCCCTCAATGAAATGTAAAAACAAGTAAAAACCTGTATCACTGACACAGAGTATCAAAACTTAAAATAAGGAATACATATTCTAAGAATTGGCTTTGAGACAATCACAAAAACTGTAGTTTGTCAGGCTACAATCCTTTTGTCCAGCCCTGAAGAACTAGAACCAGGCAGCCTATGAAGTGCTGCAACTAAAACAGAAGAGAAACCAGAAAAGCAATTTCAAGTATAATTTCTCCATTTTCTTCTCCTACCTAGAGGCCAAAAGTAGGTATGAGGACAAATAGAGCAATTCTATCTTCCTAAAATCTCAGGCATGTTCCAAATCTGAGAGTTGCCGGGTAATACCAAGGGGTCCACGAACTACCCAGAACCAATTGTAAAAGCAATCAAATGAAACACTAAGTAGGATGAAAATTATCCAGCCATCATAATCACCCTTCCATATACTCCAAATTAACCGGCCACCATGATCACCCTTCCAAATACTCCAAATTCGAGTTGCTCTTTCAGCAAGGACTTAAATAACACTTGTGTTTATAATTCTAGTCCCCTCCCACTGTTTTTGGTCAGTTTCAAACACTGCCCTTAAATTGGTCTTCAAAATCTAGTGTTATCTAGTTGCCCCCCTTAAAATAGCTTTAATGTATCACTGATCAATACACTAGGATCAAAACTAAACTTTGTGTGAACAATCTAGAATTACGGAATTAAGATGTAAATCCTTGGAAATTTAAGATAGAAGCATTAATGTTAAGACTCAACAGTGTTTTATGGGTTTTTTTTTTAAATGACTCCTTTATGAGGCAAAAAAGTTCTCCCATGATTTTTTTCTCTTAATCCAAAAATGCTATATAATTCAACACCTAAGAGAAAAGAACTACAGTTAATTTCAGATCCTTTAGAAACAGAGTGGGATGGAAAAAAGGTAGGATACTTACCTAGCCTTCTTCATAAATGTCTTAACATTCCTTCTGACTGACTGTACAGAGCCTTGAATCTCCAGTCTGGCTCCAGCCCTAGATCCCCACTACAGGGATTTTATACAACAGAGACTTGAGAGCTCCCAAGAACCTTAAAGAGTTAAGGAGTGTGGAAGCCAGGAAACATGAACCTGGCCTCCCTGAAGGAGCAACACCACTCTTGGGCTTCAAGGAAGCTATCTGATGATCACCCATGCCATCAGCCAACCTACCTGTTGATAGATGAGTTCTACAAGTTCTTGCAAAGCATCATCTGTAGTAACCCAGCCATTCAGGGTCTCTGCAAACTGCTCAATTTCAGTTTCAAAACTGCCAGGCTGTTCTGTGAGATGATTCAAAAAATCCTGAACATATTCTGATAGAGTGGGATAATCCTCACAACCATCTTCATAGGATTCCTATAGATCAAAAGTTAAAAACAACAACAACAACAAAAAGTTTTAATCCTTGAAACTGGCTAAAAAAACTAAGGCAGCTTTAAGGTGAGAAGTCTCTAGAACAAATGATCCTTCACACGATAAAATTTGTTATTTTCTTTAGCAAAATTAAGTCCACTGAACTATTCTTCCTTCCCCAATAGCCGAAGTGTTACATTAAAGCAGAAGGACACCACCTAACTGGGTGGAAAATGGTCTTCTCATCCCTGGCAGATTTATAAGATGAATGACAAAATTTAAACCAATATTTTAATATAACACCAATATAAAAATTAAGATTTTGATCTATTTATGGGTACAAGAACTGCGATTTGCTTCAAAGTGGGAAGGGAGAAGAGGCCACAGATAGAGACATTAGAATGCCCACAGTTAGGTCACAGGTACCTAACTGTTGGGGCCATGTGGCGGGGGGGGGGGGGGGGGCGCGTGGGTCATCACACTCTTCATATTCTTACAGTTATTTAACAATTTCTATATTGAAAAAAGAACCCAGTAAAGTCTGTCATCTGTTAATTCCCAAGGACAGAGAAATATATAGTTAAGGGACTACAAATTTCACCACAGTGTAACTGGCAGACTTGGGCTGCTATATCCAGGCTTCTAGCCAACCTTGACTGTAGCAGTTTCCAACTATGTTTTACCACGATCACCTTTGGTAATTTTCAGTCTTTTAGTAAATGGCAAGAGGCTGAACAGGGTGAGTACTGCAAAAGGTTTCAGATGCGATTATCAACCTGGATACTTGCAATGCCTCCAACACCAACCAAAGTATTCTGAAATTTGCTTAATAGTTATGACCTAATAAGAATTATACTAATGAAACTTACTCTTTTCCAAAAGGAGTCAAATGAGAAACCACATGAAAGAATTATGACAACATAGAAGCATTTTATGAAGAGATTAGGTTCTAAAGCCAGTGAGTGCATAAAGAAAAAAAAAAAATCAGGAGTCCAAATTTTCCTTAGTAAAATTAAAGGGATGCTACTTTACATTAGTTGCATGTACTATGAGACGCACTAAGGAAATAAGACCAACTGCAGGAAGAGCAGATTCACGTGCCCATATCATGCTCATAGCGTTTGTTGAGAAGAGCAGGTAAACTGATACATTAAATGTTCTGATCTCAAAACTGAATGCAAATTAAATGACTCTCCTCTAGGGGCACCTGGATGGCTCAGTTGGTAGAGACTCCTGATTTCAGGGTCATGAGTTCTAGGCCCACGTTGGGTACAGAGCTTAGTTAAAAAAAATAAAATAAAATTTTAGGAGCACCTGGGTGGCTCAGTCGGTTAAGCTGCCGACCTCGGCTCAAGTCATGATGCTGCAGTTTACAAATTCAAGCACCACGTTGGGCTCTGTGCTGACAGCTCAGAACCTGGAGTCTGCTTCAGATTCTTTGTCTCCCTCTCTCTCTGCCCCACCCCTGCTTGCATTCTCTCTCAAAAATAAAAACATCAAAAAAATTAAAAAATAAGATTTTAAAAATGACTCCACTCTAAAATAAAGAAATTAACATTGATGAAATTCAAATTTATTCATCATAAACATTACACCTATATGACTGAAGATTAAATGAGTTAATAAGTAAATGCCCTTAGACCTGTGACTAGCACATAGTAAGGCATTAAGAGTTCAGCAAATTTCTACATTTCTGGGAAAACAGTAAAACATTACAAATGCCACAGTCATGTTCTCATACCTAAAGAACCACACCTAAAAGCATCTGAAGAACAGAATAAAAGTCCACACTTCTTGGTATATAAGAGGATACCCTGATTAATAAGCTATGTATAATATGCGACAGACACTGTTAAGAGCTCTGCAAGCTTGTCTCACTTAACCCTAAAAAACTTGGCACAGATGGAAGAAACGAACCCAGAGCAGTTAAGTCACCTTTGGTTATTTATTCAAAAGTGTTCACTGTTGAGTTCCTACTAAGTGCCAAACACTGTTCTAGGTGCTGGAGGGGTACTGTCTTGGCATGAACAAAGGAGACAAAGTCCTCCTCCAGTGGAGCTTATCTTCCACCATGGAAGACATTATTCACATGTTAGGATATCCTATGAAAAAAGGTGGGCTGAAAGTAATATAACACTGTAGATTAACTATATTGGAATGAAAAGAAAAGCAAAAACAAAAAAAGGGAAGGATTCAGAAGAGTTAACATCTCATTTGAAGATGAAAAGAAAAACAAAATAAACCCAGCCATACAAGTATCTGAGGCTTAGAAAGTAGGCTTACAAAGCACATAGGCCCCAGGGCGCTTGGGAGACTCAAGTCAGTTGAAAGTCAAACTTTGGTTGAGGTAGTGATCTCAGGGTTCAGGAGTTCGAGCCCCACAGGAGGCTTGCTGCTGTCAGAGCAGAGCCCAATCCGGATCCTCTGTCCCCACTCTGTCTGCCCCTCCCCCACTCGTGCTCTTTCTCAAAAATAAACATTTAAAAAAAAAGAAAAAAAAAAGGGCAGCACACAGGCCTCAAGACGATAGGTGCTTATCTGATACCTTTAAGAAAAGCCAGAACAGACACTGAAGAGGGGGTAATAGCTAACAAGATCAATGAGGCAGATGGGAAATCACGTACAATCTTAGGGACCACACTAAGACTGGCTTGAAAGCCAGTGGAAAAACCATTGGGCAAAGAAGGTTGGAACAAGGAAAGACCATGTACCAACTTAAGTAATTGCTGCAGTCACACAGCTAGTCAGAAGAACTGAGCACAGAACAAACCCTGTGGTTCTAACCTCTATGCTACACTCCAAGGAACTGACAAAGGCTTAAATTCCAACTTTGACATATGTACAAGAATATTCATTGCCAACAATCCACCTAACAATCAACAAAGAACTGGCTAAATATACCACCTTATATCCATGTAATAGATCAAATAGCCACTTAAACACGATAGATTTACATCTATTAATACAGAAATCACTAATGTTAAATGGGAAGAACAGAACCGTATTTTAGGACAGCTTAATTTTAAGAGATTTGGAGACGGTGAAAATTTCTGGAAAGATAGACAAGGGATAACAGCTCTGGAGCCCATGAATGTTCATATTGTAAATAGTGACCACTGTTTTATAAAACTGAAAGCAGTTAAGCATTATAAATGCATACATTAAATACACTTAATATTAGCTACATATACATTTTACATTAAAAATACTTTGACATATAGAGTTTTATAGATTTGGAGTGTCCTGTTACTACTGACAGAAAAGCAGGAACCCGACACATCCTAGCTGAAGGTATTAATTTCTGGTTTCTATCAAATGTCACTCACTGTGGCAAAAATGCAGTCTCAAAGAAGCAGAACTCTTTTAAGAGAACCCAAAGTCCAAAAGTAAAGAAGGGAGAGTAGAGCTGTTCTGATTATAAGCATTACAGGGGACTGGTTCACAAGCTGCCATTTCAAGGAAAAAAGGAAGCACAGAGTATTCTGGACAGACCAGCACTCCGATGTGTTTGCATTATTTCTCTAGTACCAGATTTTTCCAAGTACAAATTTCATCAGTCTTCAATGTGGAGTTAAATGGCTTTTAAGCTGAGGGATGAAGTTTTACTTATTTTTCTTAGAATTCTGTGCCAAGAGATTAGGAGGGACAGTTAGACAATGCACTTTTCATGGAAGACTTTGAATACATTGGTACAGAGAAGACCTTAATCCAAAGCAACAGGAATAAAAGGAAACCGATCAGACACCTAGACGGTGGCAGAGTCAAGACTACTTTAGTTTGAAGGGGGCAAGAGTGTGAAAGACAAACAGGAGTCAATATACTGTTTTTGGCCTACACAGCTAGTCAGAATATAAAAAAAAAAAAGGCTTGCAGAAGATAAATTCTTTTTTTATACTTGAATTTCAACGTGAGATTCTCATGAACAAGTCAAAACAAACACAAGGCAGGAGTTCAGAGAAAGAATTAGATTTCAGTATCAGTAGACAGGCAATGGTCAGATTCTAAGTGACAGGTAGGATCACCAAGGCAGGTAATAAAATGTGGGGGGGCGGGGGGAAGAACCTCAGGGGACTACAGTCTGAGTGAAGAAGGAATGATCTGCAAACTGGAAGGATGAAGAAAGCACTGCCCCAGTGGCCAAAGGAAAAAGAAGAGGTGGTCAGAGGCAAATGCTACAGAAAAATCTTAGGAGTTGAAATCTGAAAGAACAATGGTTGCAGTCTTAGGAATGAAACACTAGGCAGAGAGAGGGAAAAATTAAAATTGGTATCTTAAATATTCAGTTTTTATAAAAAGAGGAACTTCTAAAAGACTGAAAAGGTACCCTTGGCCCCTAGCACAGGACCAGACTCACTGGGACTTGTTAAACTGCACAGATCATACGGTGGTCAGTCTACTAAGATGAGGGTTAAGAGGACAATAGATTTTAGGGGTACCTGGGTGGTTCAGTAGGTTAAGCATCTGACTCTTGAATTCAGGTCAGGTCATGATCTCCCGGTTCGTGAGATCAAGCCCCATATCAGGCTCTGCACTGACAGTATGGAGCCTGCTTAGGATTCTCTCTTCGCCCTTTATCCGCTCGTGCTCTCAAGGTAGATAAACAAATAAATAAAAAGAGGACGATAGATTTTAAAACCCAAAGAGCATCAGTAAAGGTCACAAAAATAGTACCAAATCAAATAGGGGGATCAGCCTACAGAGGTTTGATCACTGAGAAGTAAAATAGTACTAACAGTGAATAAGTTTACATTTAGGAGAACATCACTATTGAAAGGCAAAAGAAATAGGCAGTAACTTGAGGGGAACATTCTTAGAAGAAAGAAGGGATTTTGACGGGTGGGGATTTTTGTTTCTTAATAAATGCTTTGTGAATTCCTATGTAGAATTTTTGGTTCTTGTAAGTGAGCTGTGATTAAATATTCAAGATGTAATGGTTGATCCGAGAAGAAGCAATAGCCAGGAGTTGACAGATACAGCAACTCCCTGGTAAGAAAGCATAGAAAGCAGGAAATTCTAGCAGTGGGATTAGAGGAAGGACTCGAGGATAAAAGGGTTCAGAATCTTGGCAGGGTTGAGAAAGCACAAGCAACTATCATAAAGGCTTTCAGAAAAAAGTATGAGTACTTGAGAACAGATCCAGTTCAAAGATACCCAGATTTTCATGCATATCAAAGCAGACTTAAGGCACTTTTATTTTGTTCACTGCTGTATCCCCAGCGCTTGACTCACAGTAAGAATCCAACTATCTGTTGAATGAGTGAGTGAATATAACTAACTTTGGATTATGGCTACTGTTATCTGTCACAAGACCCTATCCTAAGAGTCAGGGAGAAACCAAGGATACTGCCATTCTGTGACTAAGTGGACAGAGTAAAACACTTACCTTTGATAGAGGGTAAAAGGGTAAATGAGGAAGACTAGAGAATGCACCAGAGCAGGGGTAGCAATCTTGAATGATTATAGAATAGAGGCGGATTACAAACAAATGAGGCAAGCCAATGAGCAATTAGAGGTCATGTATTCCATCTAAGGTGGCTGCCTCCATTCAGCTGCAGACAATTTTTTGCTCTAGCAAAGTTAACAGTCCGGTACAACCCCATCTTATGATTTTAACAGAAACCAGAAAATTTAGATTTGCAACATTTTTTTTTTAAATTTTTTTTTCAACGTTTATTTATTTTGGGGACAGAGAGAGACAGAGCATGAACGGGGGAGGGGCAGAGAGAGAGAGGGAGACACAGAATCGGAAACAGGCTCCAGGCTCCGAGCCATCAGCCCAGAGCCTGACGCGGGGCTCGAACTCACGGACCGCGAGATCGTGACCTGGCTGAAGTCGGACGCTCAACTGACTGCGCCACCCAGGCGCCCCTAGATTTGCAACATCTAATTTAAGTACTATTAAACAGGCCTTTAAAAAAAAAAAAGGAAAAACAATGAGGGCCAAAGACGACACACCTGCAGGCCACACACGAGCCATGGGCTTCTGGTTTGCAATCTGTTCTGGCCAATTGAGCATAGAAGAAACTAATCTAATAGAAGATATCAAGGAGTGCCTAACAGAGGACAATGGCTCAAAATAAGTGGACCAACATGGCTCTGTAGCCCAGGAGTCACCTGAACTATGTAAACTAGTTGATACAGAACTCTGGAAAAAACAAAAAACAAAAACACAAAAAAACACATCCCTATCATAAAATGGCCCAACAGGGAGACAAATGGGAAACAGTATGTGGCTGTCTGAAAGTGCTCTTCAAGAGTTAATTCAACTACTCACAGCTCTCCAATGGTTCTTTTCCTCTCCGAGCCAAATACAACTTTTTGGCAAGAATCCAAGCTGTCCTCGCTTCTATTTTACATGACTGACATCAAATCAACTGCTCTTTCTGAATGCCTATCCTTTCCCCTTCCCGGCCACAAAGCTTTTTTTTGTTTTTTAAGTTTATTTATCTTCAGAGAGAGCACGTGAGCGTGCACACGTGAGTGAGTATAAGTGGAGGAGGGGCAGAGAAAGAGGGAGAATCTGAAGCAAGCCCCTTGCTGTCAGCCAAGAGCCCATGTGGCACCCGAACTCATGAACCATGTGATCACGACCTGAGCCGAAATCAAAGAGTCAGACGTTCAACTGACCAAGTCATCCAGATGCCCACCAAAGCTTTTTCCTACGGCAGTCTAAGATGCATGGAGTTTCTAAAACATGGGGTACAGTTTTTCCATACCTTTTCTATCAAATATGGAAGGAAAGCACTGCCCCCCACCCAAGAAGCAACAAAATAGGTGTGCCATCATTAGTTATCAGGTAAACACAAATTAAAACCACAAGTAGTGGGGCGCCTGGATGGCTCAGTGGGTTAAGCATTCAACTTCGGCTCAGGTTATGATCTCATAGTTTGTAAGAGGCCCACATCAGACTCTGTGCTGACAGTGTGGAGCCTGCTTCAAGTTCTGTGCCTCTCTCTCTCTCTCTGCCCCTCCCCTACTCACACAGTTTCTCTCTCAAAAATAAGCAAACATTAAAATTTAATAAAAAAACACAAGTAGATACCACATACCCACCAGAATGGCTAAACTTAAAAACAGAAATTTCCAAATACTGACAAGGAAGCAGAGTAAGTGGAAATTACATACTACTCAGAGTGTACACTGGAACATTCTCTTTGGAAAACTATTTGGCAATCTCCATTAAAGTTGGCTACCGGTGCAACTGGGTGGTTTTGTTGGTAGAGCATAAAACTCTTGATCTTGATGTGGACTTCAAGCCCTATGCCGGGTGTAGAGATTACTTAAAACCTCTGGGGGGGAAAAAATGAGTTGACCACCCTATGTCCCTGCAATTCCACTCCTAGGTATGTACCCATGGGTAGAATAGCAGCCCTATTTATAATAGCCCCAAAGTGGAAACAATCAAATGTTTATCAAGAGACAAAGGGAAACAGGTGCCTGGCTGGCTCAGTTGGTAGAGCATGCAACGCTTGATCTCAGGGTCATGAGTTCAAGCCCCACGCTAGGCGTGAAGCCTCCTTAAGATTAAAAAAAACATTTTAGAGGAGACAAAGGGGACAAATATTAAAACAAAAACAGACAAGATGGGACTGTGGTATATTCTCACAATGGAATGCTAGATTAAGTCACCTTCAATTATAAGCTAAAACATGGATTAATTTGAAGGTCAAAAAAAGTGAAAAAAATATATTCTGTATGAGTCCTTTTATACAAACTTTGAAAACAGGCAAAACTTGTAAATCAAAATAGTAGTTAACCTGGAGAGCAGTAATGATTAGGAGGACACATAGGGAGCTTTGTTAATGTTCCTTTTTTTGGTTTGGACACTGGTTGCTTAAGTGTTCATTTTGTAAAACTTTGAGCTAACCTTTATGTACACTATTGGGTTAAATGTCAGTAAAACTAAGAAATTAGGAAAAAGAAGACTTCTGTGCTAAAGTATCATTTTAACCCTCTAATGGTTCCTGCCCCACTTATCTACAATCAATTGCTATGCATTTACCCAGGACATATTCCCAATTGTGTTGTGTTTTCTCCCACTTAGAAGGAGTTCAGTTTATTAAGTTATTGACAAAAATGAACCTGAAAGTTTAAAAGTTCTTCATACTTGTGTAAACACTTTATCAAAACCTCCTACGTTTCTTTAGTTAATTACAACCAGAAACACTTGTTTTAACATAATAGCGTCCAGATGTGTAACATTAAAAAGCTTACCTCAAATTAGTCCGCAGCAGAACTATGGTTTAATTTACTCTAAAACTACCAATGAATATTCAGTTATCTTGCTGAAATCCAATTTAAAATCAGCTTTGCCAGGCCATTATTCTATAGATCATCCACTTAGTCTGGACACAAATTTTGTTATTTTTTTAATGTAGTTTTTTTAAAATTTAATGTTTATTTTTGAAATAGAACCAGAGAAAGTGTGAGTGCACAGAAGCAGGACGGGGGGGGGGGGGGGACAGAGGATGGGAAGCCAGCTCTGTGCTGACAGCAGGGAGAACCCCATCAGGGGCTGGAACTCACTAACCTGAGAGCATGACCTGAGCACAAGTCGGAGGCTTAACCCACTGAGCCACCCAGGTGGCCCTGGACACAAATTTTAGTTTTATATATTGAAAGTGCCCTAAGTATATCCTTTACTAGGCTAGAAATACTCTATAGATACCGGGGATACAGTGAAAAAAGACAAAAAGGTCTACTCTCAATTTACATGGATATTTTGAACATCACAAACCACAAAACATATTCCTGAATCTGTCTGGTTTCTTGGAGAGTGTAAAGAATTCATGACGTTTTTATGTGTAGTAGAAAGTTCCATAATACCGATTAATGACATAAAGTAATAATCACGTTATTCCAGTAATATTAATCCAGAATTGTAGTAAAAAGGCATACTTACTGTATAATTAGAAGAATAACCTGATGGATAAAATTCAGGAGCGTTCACAGACAGCTTAGACATTAATACAGGAGCTACAACCACCTGGGGTTTAGCCATTGCTGACTCCAAGTTCTGCTGTGGGATATTATCCTGTGAACTAGGTGGAGCTCTCAGGGGCCTCGTTTGCTCTGAGAAAGGAAAAACGGGGTGTTAGATGCGTTCATTCCTTTGTATAGCAACTTACTATCTGCTGAAAAGCCACAGGAGAAGGACTGGTTTTTAAGAGTTAAACAAGAACTGTCACGAATATTAAGGTTATCGCCAGGATATATACAGAAAGCCTGCAAAAAGGAACAATAGGCTGCTTTAGCTCATTTATGGCCATACCTGCCTCCTAAATGAATGCTCGAGAGCTTTCTTTTTCCTTTTTTCGTTTTTAAGGAGTTAAAAGAGGTGGTTGCACGCTTAAGGTCTCCCTTTCCAAGGCTGGGAAGGGGGAGGCGATTTTTACTTCCTCCCCGGACGGCAGAACTCAGAGACCGCGCATTGGGCCCCTCCCCCCAGCCGGGGCGCACAAAGGATTCCGGCAGCCACCTTCCAAACCCCGTTCCGGGCCCGTCCCCACCCCGGAGCAACCGGGCCCCTCGGGGAACGCTTTCGGGGAACGGGGGGGTTGGGGGGGGGTAGAAGGAAAAAGAGCGCCGGCCTTGCCGCGCGCCAAGGGCCGTGGGGAAGCGTTGGCCCAGGAGGACAAGGTCCCCTAGAGCGGCTCCGTACCTGGGAGCGCCCCGGGCCGGGGAGGCCTCTGGGGGCCGGCGGGGACCTCGCACTGGGCCCCTGGCGGCGGGGCCGTCCTGGGCTGGCGCAGCGGCGGCGGCTGCAGGAAGCCCGGGGCTTTGGGCTGCGGCGGCGGCTGGTGCCGCGGCCGCTCAGCAGCCCCCGCTCCGTTCGGGAAACCGCCGCCCTCAGGCCCGCCCCCTCCGCGGCCCAGGCCCCGGCTCCGGCCCCGACCAGCACCTGGGGCCCGATCGAAACCGTCCGACATGCTCCTCCTCCTCCGCCGCCGGGGGCCGCTGCCGCTGCGCTCGGGAGAGGACGCCGGGGGGGAGGCGCCGCGGGCCGGCTCTCGCCGCCGCGCTCACTCGGGCCTCATGGAGGAGGAGGGCTGCGGGCCCCTGCGCGGTTCCTTGGCGCCTCGGGCGGAGCGGACCGCAGCCAGAGCACCCGCCGAACCCGCCGCTCCAGAGCGCCCGCCCCCCGCGGCTGCCCTCCGCTTTTCGATTCTCCCCCAAACCCGGCTCCCCCGCCTTCGGCGCGGCGGGGGCGAAGGCGGGTCACAGCGGCCCCCCGCGGCCCGGAGGCCCCGGGCGCGTCCTCCGCGTCTGCTGCGGTTCGTGGCGGGCTGGGTGCCGCGGCCCAGCAGGCCGCTCGGCCAGTGGCTTCCCGGCCAACGGACAGCCCTGCCCGACGCGGGGACCGGGCGAGGGCATCTCGGCCCACCCCCCGGGGCGGGCCGAGAGGAGAAAGGGGTGCTCACCCCAGGCAGGCCTTACCTACGCGGTGCCTCTCGGTAGAGAAGTGCGAGACTGACGGTTGATGCCAGGAAAATAAAAATACGGGGGGAGGGGGCGTGGAGGCAGCGCTAGGGTTCGCGGACGCGCACCTCCGTGGGCGCGCAGGTGTGTTCAATGACCCGGAGCCGGCCGGCCCGAGGACTGGCCCGGAAGGACCGCTGCGGGAGAAGCTCCGCCACCTGTCTGGTCGGCCGCGGGGGAGGGAGGGGGGAACGCAATCAAAATGCACCTCTCTCCCCCGCCCCTTTCAATTCACATAAGGTAGTTATCAGAGTAGGTCCTACCTACTGTGCCCAGGCTTCAGTCTTCTCTTTTCTCTTCCCGTCCGGAAATGTTCACAAAATGCACTACCTTTCAATGAAATTACCCTCTTTTTCGTCGTCTACCAGTACCGTCCAATAAAAATATAGCGCGAGCACAAACGCAAGCTACTTATGTAATTACAAATTTTCTAGAAGCCACATTAACGAGTAAAAAAAAAAAAAAAAACAAAAAACAAAAAAACCCCAGGTGGAATTATTTTAATCTATTTTACTTTACCGAATATATCCAAAATGGTATTTCAACATGTAACTAATACAAAAAATGTTAATGAGATGTTTTCCCCTTTCTCGTACTAATTAAAACACAATGTGTATTTTATACTTGCAGCACGTCTCCGTTGGGATTGGCACATTTCAGGTGTTCAGTAGGTACATGTGGCTAGTGGCTACCGCATTGCACAGCAAAGTTCTAGACATTACTTATGTGTAAATTATTGTTTTTGTCAGGTCTGGTGCTGTGACAGCCAAATGAAGAATGAATGTAAGTAATGAAAAGGAGAAAAAAATCATTTCTTTACTGTTATACTGAAATATCCTCACAAACTCTGATTGTAGCCCTTTATATTAAGTCAGGTTTAATGTTTTTCAATCTTGTCATCTTGAGAATCATTTCAATTAGGAACAAAACTCATGTTAACCATTTTCTCTTCTTACTAATAAAAACAATATTAACAGCTTCACCTAAATGAGTGAGAAGAATGGCTTTAATTACGGCAATCCTAAATAAATGATTCATGCTGTTGATTGTTGGCAAAAATTGAAGGGAAGGAAGCCAACAAAAAGTAAGGTTCTTTGGTGTGGTGAAAAATGTAGGATTCAAAGTGGACCAGAGCTTGGCTTAGATCCTGGCCTTGACCCTTAAAGCCTGTGTGATCCTAGGTAAGCCAGGGATTTAGCTTCTCTGAGCCTCATTTGCCTCATCTTTAAAATAATAAGTATGTTGTAGCACTGAGTATTTATTACAAAGACAAGACAACAGTGTAAAAATTCGATGGGGACATTGAAGTCCATTCTTTTATGTAGCGGTCAGTCACTTCTTACTTTTCTGTTCTTCAGGAAGGACTCACAAACTGTATATTCCAAAACAGTGAGAGTGAGTTATCCTAATGTTCCATTAGGTAGATACCCTCGACCTGTGCCAGGCTTTTGGTCGCATTCATTACCCTCTTGTTCCCCTAGGAACTTTGATGATGGCTAGCACTTTCTTTACACCTGAGACATTCTTATCTGAGACTAAGGCTACTATGCATGCATGGAGACATCAGGGTATCTTTAATTGAGATGTTATCCTGTGCCTTCTCCCTATTTACTGTTATGTAACTTTACCCCTATTCTTATGAGATGTGAAAGGTAGACTTAGAGATAACAGGGATGGATTTAGCTTCATCACAATAACAATAGTTAATATTTAGTATGTGCCAGCCATTGTTTCAAGAGCTTTACTTTTATCATTTTATTTAATCCTCACATCCTATGAGACAGCCATTCCAATTACCCACATTTCGCAGAAAAGGTGCCAAGATACTACAAGGACTATATCCATCTGGGGACTGTTATAGGACTAAGTGACAGGTGGTAGGTAATGCAAAATGCCAAGAGGCCAGGGGCACCTGGCTGGCTCAGTTGGTAAAGCTTGCAACTCTTTTTTTTTGTTTGTTTGTCTTTTCCTATCTTAGAACCTTTTCTTTAAATTTCATTTTAATTTTTTTAAATTTACATACAAATTAGTTAGCATATAGTGCAACAATGATTTCAGGAGTAGATTCCTTAGTGCTCCTTATCCATTTAGCCCATCCCCCCTTCCCACAACTCCTCCAGTAACCCTCAGTTTGTTCTCCATATTTTTGAGTCTCTTCTGTTTTGTCCCCCTCCCTGTTTTTATATTATTTTTGTTTCCCTTCCCTTATGCTCATCTGTTTTGTCTCTTAAAGTCCTCATATGAGTGAAGTCATATTGATTTTTGTCTTTCTCTGACTAATTTCACTTATAAAGCTTGCAACTTTTGATCTTGGGGTTGCAAGTTTGAGCCCTACATTGGGAGGAGAGACTACTTTTTTAAAAAATGCCAAGAGGCCACACACACACAAACATGAGCACCAGGTAGGACTCTCTGGAGAGAATCATCAGAAATGCTCCTTCTCCACACTTAGGCCTTTCTTATTGATTTATGAAGGTAGGGCTAAATTTGGAGAGGCTGGAAAATATGTTGTAAATCTGGGAAAAGGACCTGCTGTAAAATATGGAAAGAATTTGTTTCCTTAAGCTGGGTTTGAAAGAACTTTTCCAGAAGACTTCCCCAAGCTGTCTAATCTTAGATGCTTCCCTTATGATAGTTGTATCTTGGAAAAACTTTATCTTGGCACTTAGTATGCTGGATTTTTACTGTTTAGTCTATTTAACTGTCCTCTTCACTAAACTACTTCTGAAGTCAGAGGACACTTTTTTTTTTTTTAAGTAAACTACACACCCAACATGGGGCTTGAGCTCACAACCCCAAGATCAAGAGTTGTACGTTCTACCCACTAAGCCATCCAGGCACCCCAACCAGAGGCCACCTTTCATCTCTACACCCTTAGATCTTAGCCCAGTACTTGGTACATAAAGGCTTTTAACAGTGATGGGAATCACCTGCAATACAGCTTTTCCTTTCCTGTGTCACCAGTATAGTGATGATGAAAAGACTGGTTTTCTTTCCTAGTTCTTGAGAGATTTAAGTTAAAAGATGAATGCTTTAAAAAAGAAAAGATTGTTTTTCAGAAACCAGTAGCACTTAATGGCTTCAAAATCCCCATTGGTTGGGGCGCCTGGGTGGCTCAGTCGGTTGGGCGGCTGACTTTGGCTCAGGTCATGATCTCGCGGTCCGTGAGTTCGAGCCCCGCGTCGGGCTCTGGGCTGATGGCTCAGAGCCTGGAGCCTGTTTCCGATTCTGTGTCTCCCTCTCTCTCTCTGCCCCTCCCCCGTTCATGCTCTGTTTCTCTCTGTCTCAAAAATGAATAAAACGTTTAAAAAAAATTAAAAAAAAATCCCCATTGGACCATATGGGAGTAGACAGTGCAGCCTTTCAAGTCCAGCTAATAGGAGAAAGTTTTCATAAAAATTTAAATAGGAGAAGATATTTACAACCATATACTGACAAAAGACCTGTACCTAGAATATATGAACTCTCAAAACCCAACTGTGAAAGAATAATCCACTTAGGGAGTGGACAAAGCAGACATTTCACTGAAGAGAATGTACAGATGGCATTTAAGCCCGTGGGGGAAAATGTTCAACATCATTAGCTATTAGGTAAATGAAAATTAAAACCCCAATGAGATTTCACTACCTACATAGCACAATGGCAAAAGAAGAAAATAGTGACAACACCAAATGCTTGCGAGAATGTAGAGAAACTAGAAACTGAGTCACTTGTTGGTGGGAATGTAAAATGGTATAATCATTCTAGAAACTAGTTTGACAATTTCCTTAAAAGTTATACATATGACTACCATATAACCCAGAAATTGCACTCCTGGATATTTGTGATGGTTAACTTTATGTGTCAATTTGACTGGTCCATGGGATGCCCAAGTAACTGGCTAAGCATTATTTCTGAGCATGTCTCTAAGGGGGCTCCTGGAAGAGATTAGCATTCACATCAGTAGACTGAGTAAAGCAGATGGCTCTCCCCAAAGTGTCATCTTAACCATTGAGGGCCTAAAGAGAGCAAAAAGGAGGAGAAGGAAGAATTCCATTTCCCTGACTCATTGCTTGGGCTAGGACATTGGTCTGGCCTTGGACTGAGACACCATTAGTGGTGCTCTGGTTTTCAGGCCTTCAGACTTAGACTGGAACTATACCACTAGCTTTCCTGGCTCCCCAGCTTGCAAACAACAAACCATGGGACTTTTCAGCCTCTATAATCATGTGAGATAAATCCAAGGATTGGTTTTGAGTATTAAGATATCATGGAATTTGCCTGCTAGTAGGTTTGAGATTTGCTTGGGATCTGTTACCCCTTCTTTTCTATTTCCTTTTTGGAATGGGAATGTTTGTCCAATGCCTGCCCCATCATTGTATTTTGGAAGCATATGACTGGTTTCACAGCTTCGTAGCTGGAGAGGAATTTTGCCTCAGGATGAATTGTACCTCAGATCTCATCCATATCTGATTTAAGCAGACTCCATGCATGGGGCTTGAACTCACAACCCTGAGATCTTGATCTGAGTCAGACAGTGAACTGACTGAGCCACCCAGGTGCCCCCATCCATATCTGATTTAGAGGAATTTTTTTTAATGTTTATTTATTTATTTTTTAGAGAGAGAGTGCAAGTGGGGGAGGGGCAGAGAGAGAGAGGGAGACAATCCAAAGCAGGTTTTGTGCTGACAGCAGAAAGCCCGATAC